CCCCTAAAGTTCCTTTTTAGAAGTTTTGAGGAAGGGGGAAACTTTATGAACAAGATTGGTGTGGGGATGAGGGAAGCAAGTAAGATTTGAGGTAAAGGAGTGTTTGGGAATTCGGGATGTGACCATGCCACTCTGATATAAAAGGCTTCTCTAGTTCACTAAATGATGTCATGAGAGATAACGTAGAACGAGAAATCAGAAGAACTTGAGAATAACAGAAAGGTGGAGAATGAGAGACTCTTACCGAAATTATCTAAATAAGTAATTCTCAGTGGAGAAATTTGGAAACATGTGACTGATTGCATAATTTTTGATGACAAAAAAATCAGGGAAAGAGTTTCTGGGTCTATGGCATGGAAATTAGAATATGAAAAAAAAAGTTGATCATTCATTATCATTAACTTCAGGGAAGTGAGCAAAGGCATAAAAAGAGAATCAAGTGCTAATTATGATCAGATAGTGTAGTTTGAAGTTAGAAATGTGTTTATAATGCACAAGTTTACCGTGCCCCCACTGGAAGGGGGGAGGAGGGAGTCATGAGTTGGAATGGGAATGGCAGAGGTTGGGAAGTTAAAGACAGGGGTGGGGTATGAGAACTTAAGTACAGGTAATAGAATTTAAGAGTTCGTATTCAGGTAGTGATTTGGGTTAGGTGATTTTGACATTTACCACCTAAGTTGCTTTTACTTCATATAATGGTGGCTTATTTTTCAGAACAATAAACGACTTGAAATCTTTGAATGCCACGGCCCTCGGGCTGTCAGCTGTCTTGCCACAGCACAGGAGGGTGCCCGAAAGCTGCTTGTTGTTGGGTCTTATGACTGTACCATTAGTGTTCGTGATGCACGGAATGGACTCCTCCTCAGAACTCTGGAGGGCCACAGCAAAACCATTCTTTGCATGAAGGCAAGTACAATGCAAGAGAAGAGGAGTTGGTTGTCTGGCACAAATAGAAGACTTTGAGTGGCATTTCCCTTCTTGTCTAATGCCTTATTTAGAACACATCATCTTGAAAAGAGCAAGGAGATTACAGTGCTTTTCTTTAGGCTTGGGTCACCAAGAGATGGACTGTATTTTACTTTATCAACAGAGAAACAGGTGTATTTTATCATAGAATGTAGATATACTTTAAAGCCCTTCTCGGCTATTTCGCAATCATTCTGAAGAGACAACAAACCCAGTAATACATTGGCAGTTCCTCACAGTACCTGGTGGTAGGACGGAAGTTTCACTTTAATAAATTTGTCTGAGGAACTTACTATTTTATCCCTAGTTCATGCTCATGTCAAAGTAAGTTAGAAATTAGAATTCAGCGATGTGCTTTACAAGTTACAGAGGAAATTCAGAACCTTATACCAAATCTAACTCAGTGAATTTTTTTCAAGGTGGTGAATGACCTTGTGTTCAGTGGCTCCAGCGATCAGTCAGTCCACGCCCATAACATTCATGTAAGTTGTGTTGATGTAAAGAAATCTTTAATGGAATGATGGTTAAAGCTTGAAGGATTCCTCAGACCTCTTGCAATTTAAATGAAACCCCTTTTCCAGGGAAAAGCTTAATAATAATCCCTACCCGCATAAGCTCTTGGAAGATAGTGAGCACTCTAGAAATTCTGACCTCATCAAAATTTTTAATGGGAGACAGATTCAAAGTTTAAACTCATTTAAACTTGAGATAAATTGAGCATCTGAGGCTCTAAGAAAGTGGATATGTTATGTAGTTTAAAATAGAACAAATAAAAACAGCCGAGAGACTCTGCTCAGGTCATAGAGACAGCTCTGTGAAGCTCAGTGCCTGGGCTGTAAACCTGAGGATAATGCATCTTCAGGAACTTGTCCAGATGCAATAAAATGATAAAAGTGGAAATACTTCACAACCTATAAAATACATACAGATAGAGTTGTGGGCCTTCTCTTTCTATGACGCCAGCTTCTCTCCATCAGGATACATTTCATATATATTGTATTACCTATATTGTAGTAAATGCTTGTGTGAGTACTTCCTCTGTTAAAATTAGTTCAGCTACAAGTAGTTTCAGAACGATGACTTTTGGAATAAATGAATCGTAAATCTCAAAAGTCAGAAGGAATCTTGAAAGTCAGTCTAGTGACTTGTTTCTTTCTGGATGCAGACTGGTGAGCTTGTGCGGATCTATAAAGGTCACAATCATGCAGTGACTGTGGTGAATATCCTAGGAAAAGTGATGGTGACCGCTTGCCTGGATAAATTTGTTCGTGTCTATGAATTACAGGTAGAATTTGGATCCACTGTTTTGCTTGAACAATTTGGGGAGAAGGTCTGTTTGGGTTTGGTGTTAATATATATTTTTTTTTAATATAGTAAGACGGGTGGGGCCCAGAAATCTGCATTTTTCACAAGCCCTCTAGATAATTATGAAGCAGATGGTCCGTGCACTACACTTTGAGAAACATGGCTCTGAGGTTCCTGGTGAGGCTCACAGAGGTTAATACCGGATGGTTTCCAGACTGCAACTGTAGTCTCTAAAGCCTATCTAGTGCTCCTTGTGTGCAGTTCCAGGTTTGAGACTTTGATACTATACAGAAATTAGTTTTCTCATTTCCAATTACCAACTCCTCCCTTGTGGACTTACTAGAAAGATTGTGTTTCTCTGAAAATGCTACTGTGCCTCAGCATAGTGCCTTAGGGATGGTTTTAAACCTGCCAGAGGCCTCCAGGGATTAGGCTTATTAAACACAGGGTGTAAATAACCTTAATTCTCTATTTATTTCCTCCACCTAAGTCCCATGATCGACTGCAAGTTTATGGAGGACACAAAGACATGATTATGTGTATGACCATCCATAAAAGTATGGTGAGTGTTATTAGCCATGTCACATACTGCTTTTGAATATGTTTACTAAAAACTACAAACTGATAATAATGTTCCTATTTATCACTTCCAAAGATGACATCTGTTTCTGACATGCCTCATTATTGAATGCTTTTCTGTCTTGCCATAATATCACTGAGAAGTAGCCCAGTGACGTTGTTGAATATTCTCTTTGCTATTCATAAGCTAAAATAATTACAATAAAAATCTGATACCACCATTAAACAGAAAATAAGTTTAAGATGTTTCCCCTAAAAATTGAGTGGTGCTTTTTCCAGAGACCTTACGATCCAAACAGAACATTGGAATAGAGTCCGGAGATTTGGCCAGTACGGCATAGCGAAAGCAGACCTAAAAGTAGAAGCTAATTCACTCAACCCTGCTAAGTCTCGATTTATTTTATTTTTAAATTATGTGGTTGAACCAGAGTGGATGTTTTCTAGATTTTGAGCCGTAGAACCCCTTGTTGCAACGAAAGGCAGATGGCTACTGTGTGGCGTGCGGTGTAGCATACGATGCTCAGGAGCCTGGGTGCACAGCTTGCAGTGTGGGCAGGTGCCTCCCAGCCTGAGCCCTGCTACTGCTCTCAGCCAGTGTCTCAGGAGTGGCTGTCTAAGCAGCATAGCTTCAGTGTAGCCCCACCAGACATACTTACCCACGGTAGGACGGTAGGACGCGCGGCCGGCTTTGCTGTAGGTTTGTGTTTTCTTACAGCCGGCACAAGGAGCTTTTGACATGTATTTTGAGGATGTTTAGTAGTTGTTTTTTTGTGTGTTGTTTTGGTCTGATGTGAGAAACTTCTTTTTCCAGATTTATACTGGCTGTTACGATGGCAGTATTCAAGCTGTGAGGCTGAATCTGATGCAGAATTACCGTTGTTGGGTAAGGAGTGCTTGCCCCTAGGCTAATTTATAGATCTTCATTAGCATCAATTAAGCATTTTTTTTTTTAAAGATTTTATTCATTTATTTGAGAGAGAGAATGAGATAGAGAGAGCATGAGAGGGGGGAGGGTCAGAGGGAGAAGCAGACTCCCTGCTGAGCAGGGAGCCCGATGCGGGACTCGATCCCGGGACTCCAGGATCATGACCTGAGCCGAAGGCAGTTGCTTAACCAACTGAGCCACCCAGACGCCCCAATTAAGCATTTTTATATTTGAGTATCTACTTTATGCCTCCCACTGTAGGACAAGGAAGCTTATTTTTATTGTTTTATTTTTTTTTTAAAGATTATTTTAGAGGGTGGGGAGAGAGAGTGAGCATGGGTGGGAGGGGGAGAGGGAGAGAGAATCTTAAGCAGACTCAGCACTGAGCATGGAGCCCGACGTGGGGCTTGATCTCACAACCCTGAGATCACAACCTGAGCCGAAACCAAGAGTCGGATGCTTAACCAGTTGCACCACCCAATGCCCCAAGGGAGACAGTGAGAGCAGGAACACAAGCAGGGGGAGTGGGAGAGGGAGAAGCAGGCTTCCCGGCGAGCAGGGAGCCCGATGTGGGGCTCGATCCCAGGACCCTGGGATCATGACCTGAGCCGAAGGCAGACGCTTAACCAACGACTGAGCCACCCAAGTGCCCCAGAATTTTAAGATTTAAAACAAGCAAGCCTGGAGGGGGAAAAAACCAAGACAAAGAGTCTTTATGCTTTCTGACCAATGAGTGAGATTGAGAGTTGAGCCACATTTTTAGTAAAGTAGGAATTAAAAAAAAAAAAAGGGGCACCTGGGTGGCTCTGTTGGTTAAGCATCCGACTCTTGGTTTCAGCTCAGGTCATGTTGTCAAGGTCGTGAGATGGAGCCCCGAGTTGGGTACCATGCTCAGTGGGGAGTCTGCTTGAGATTCTCTCCCTCTGCCTTTCCCTCTGCCCACTTGCATGCTAAATGAATATATACATACATACATACATACATACATACATACCTAAAATCTTGAAAAAAAGATTGCGATTCAAGTGATAAAGATTCTCAGTAAAGTCGGGTTTCCAAGGCATAGTTTTCTTTGTCAGACCTTTTTATTTTCAAGTTTACGAGTCAGCAGTTCTCAGAATTGTGAAATACAGCCCCTTCAGTATTATAGAGAGCTCTTAGCCTTTTTTTTTTTTTTTTTTAAAGATTTCATTTATTAGAGAGCGAGCAGGGGGAGGCGGGGGAGGGGGGAGAGAGAATCTCAAGCAGACTCCCTGCTGAACATGGAGCCCGACTCAGGACTCGATCTCACGACCCTGAAATCATGACCTGAGCCGAAATCAAGAGTCAGATGCTTAACTGACTGAGCCACCCAGCACCCCGACTTTTTTAAATAAATGGACTAAGGAACTCATTTTATGATGGCAAGATAAAAAATAAATGTGGCTTAAACTGAATTTTATGGTAACTTGTCTGTTAATATTTGCTAACCTTTTCCTCTAACAATGTGGCTATCTGGGTGCGTTGCCTTCTCAATAGAGCAGAGTGTCAAGACTTTCCAGTCTTTTCAAGGCTCCTCAGAATATTGGTAATTAATGTGGATGCCTCTGGCTTTGTTATATTTTCTAGCCAAGAATAAAGAATAAAGGGCTTGCTTTTGCTTCCACAGTACTTAAAAGATACAAGTGAGGACTGCTGTAAATTGTGATTGCATGTTTCCTGTACTGTTTTTCCCTCACCCTTTCATTGTCTTTCTCCTCAGTGGCACGGTTGCGCTCTGATATTTGGTGTTGTAGATCATTTGAAACAACATTTGCTCACTGACCATACAAATCCAAACTTTCAAACTCTGAAATGTCGCTGGAAGAACTGTGACGCTTTCTTCACTGCTAGGAAAGGATCCAAACAGGTACATGAGTGGGACCTGAGGCCGACCTGGGGTCATTCAACGGCTCAGAGCAGGCAGACCTTTTTTGCCTTAATTAGAATGTTCAGAATTGCAATAAACAGGGAGAGTCTAGGGATTTTCCTTTTTATTATTATTCACAGATTTGGGGAATAGCTTAATGAGGTTTCAAATGATGACATAGGTAGTTTTTGAGAAAGAACGTAAAGAGAATGTTTTCTTTTTTAATTTTTTTGAAGATTTTATTCATTTATTTGACAGAGAGGGAACACAAGCAGGGGGAGCGGCAGGCAGAGGGAGAAGCAGGCTCCCCGCGGAGCCACCCAGGCGCCCCAAGAGAATGTTTTCAAATGTTTCAAATCCAGTAACTGGACCTAGAGATTATTACTGTGTTCTTGTGTAAGATAAGAATTCATCTTTAAGTGCATAGTTTCATATGAATGAGCAAAGTGCTGGGTCCTAATCGCCTTCCATGTATGGATTTTAGAATGTACCCGTGAAGCTCTCCTTGGCTTGGATTTTTTCTTGTCTTACTACCAACTTTTCTCTCACGGGCCCCTTTCCCTTTATTCCTAGGATGCTGCGGGACACATTGAACGACATGCTGAGGATGACAGCAAAATTGATTCATGAAGTTTTTTGCCTCCCATGTTGGGAAGTTATCATTTGAACTAATTTTACATCGGCCCTTCACAGAGGCCACAGTCTTCCCTTCCGCAGAGAATCAGGGAAGGAGAAAGTGGTTACTAGCCAGGCTTACCACTAGCATAAGTCTGGGCAGCTCTATGGGATGATAGTTACACGTTAAGTTCTTACTGGAGGTTTGTCAGATTGAAACAGATTTTAAGGAACTATACTTCTCTGGGACAGCATGGAACGTAGTAATCTGTGCTACTAGTATTCTCCAGATGTGGATTAAAGATACAGATCTTAATTGGCTACCCAGTCTGACCCTAATCATATGTATTTTTTTAATTGCTTTCAGTTTGCGATTTTTAGTTTATGTTCTTATGATGGTTTAAACCTGTAGTCCGGCTTTTAAGTACAAGTTTGTGCAAATGCTAGATTTTTAGGATCACTTTTAATTTCTTTAGTTCTAATAACTGGGTATTTAAATTAGAAGCAACTAGTTCCCTTTCTTAACAATTATGTGCAGTGTGTTTCACTATTCTCTTGCTTTGTAGGTAGACAGAGCTGGCTTTAAATGCCAAAGGGACACACAGTAGATTTTCAACAGCTAGAGTGACTGCTCTGCTGGTTATATTTTAGGAACTCAGCAAATCACATAATGACAAGTCCTCACAGACAGTACTTCCTATCGAACGTCTGTGCACATTTTGATGGGAGTGCTCAGTTCAAGACAGTGCACAGACCTAACATCTACCTTGCAATGTTGCTGTTAGGCCTGGGTGCTCACGCTGCAGGTATTATCAGGCCTTTCGAACTGGAGTGTAGCCTTTATCTTCCTTTCCAGTTTCTGACTCTCCAGGCCTGCTGTGGGTATGAAACCTCTTAGTTTGCTCCATTGCCAAACCCTCTCTCCCCTGCTCTCTGGCTGTGCCTAGACTGTTGGTGGCCATCACATACTTCCTGTAGGCTCCCAGGGTGCTTTCCCCCCACCTGCAGCACCCAAGATGGGGGAGTTAAGATAAAGCATCTGCATACAGTCTTTAGGGGTCCAAGCAGGCTTCTTAGAGACTGATTTCTGAAACTAGAATCTTGCCTTCACCTCCCCTCTTGCTGGCAAAGAAGAGTGGAGTATGAAGAAGGGAAAGACTCCATTTTTCCACTGAGAGCAGCCAAATTAACAAAGCCTAGTGAGACTGCTTTGTTTTTTGGAATTTCTCTGGACTCTTGAGAGAAGCTATAGAAGTGTTGCTTTCCAGCCTTTTGTTTCTGGATTCTCAAAACTCTGAAAGGTTCTTCAGAGAGCTAAAGAAGGGTGAAGAGCCCAGTGCCACATACCAGACTTGGGGATATGATGCATACTGTTTTCTGGGATTGCATAGCACGCAGGTTTCTCTCCACCCCTGTTCGTGTGCACACACCTACTCGTAGGTCTTCTCTCTGGCTCTAGGGCTGGAGACTTCACTGGGCTTCATGGTTGGATTTCAGGAGGGTATGAAACTGGATGCAAGGCTTAGGATGTGTTCTTTTTTTTTTTCAGGAAAGGCTCCAGTGGTTCTTACTGGATCCATAAACAACTAATCTAGGAGCTACTACCAAATAATGGCCCCATGAACTATTTACGTCTATCCTTATGAACGGGAAAACTTTTCTTTTTTTTCTTTTGACCACACTATTGATAGTTGCATGATACTTGAGAGAGAACAGAGAAGAATCTCTTGCATAAAATGTCTTTGTGCTGTTTCTGTCTGAGATTAAGAAGCTTTCTTACCTCTCCTCCCCATTTCTTGTAAGGATGACCGGAGCAGTCAGGCTGTTGTGTGGGTTTGAGAAGGGCGATTTCCCAGGAAAGCATATTGGAATTTATTACTAAACCAGGCGTTTTATTCGGGGTTGTAGTGAAGCTGCATTTCCATGTTGACTGGGCAGTGTGCTAAGAAAGCGTTGTGCACTCTGTTGCATAGATGCCCTTCTGTCCTGCCTGAGGACACGTCTGAAAAGATGAGAGTGCTGGAGCCGTTGTACAGCAGGAACGGGTTATGTGAGGTGTTGGGCAATCGTGGGGAACCTTTGAAGGTATGAACAGACTGATAGAATCAAGTAACAACCGATTCGGGTTTACTTTTGGTTGAATTGTGCACAGTCTATCTGCCTTTGTGTGTGCAGGTGTGAATGTTTCTTGTACGTGTGTGTGGGTGTGGGTATCTCTACTTGTAATACTTTCCCTCATTTCACAAACATTTGTTTTTTTGAAGCCCTGGTAATAACATCTTTGTTTCAAGAATTTGTAGAATTATTTTAACCCCAGGTTAGTGTGTCATCCTAAATGCACTGTTCTAGCTGTTGATTTAGAAATAAAGGCACCATAAGCATCTTGGCTGCTTATGGTTGTGTTATTGCTTTTAAGAGCCTTGAAAGTTATGCAGAACTTAGGCTGTTTTTTGTCTTTTACAGTGTCTTAACTGCTTCTAGCCTTCCGTCTTCCCTTAGAGGAGAGCGGTGGCTCAGGTTTCTGTGTTGACTTGGTATTCAGTACTTAAGGAAGGAAGGAAAGTGTTACATGACCTGACAAAACCCAACTCATTTCTTATAAGGGGTTGGAGGCCATTTCGAGAATGTTATCCTTAGTTGCCTGTGCCTACTTCTAATGGCCAGAAGCCAAGAAAACCGTGGTATCCGTCCTTTGTTGTAATGGCAGTTTACGACAAACTGTCAGTCACTTCAAGTTTTAAACCAGGTTCAAAGTGAGTTTTGACATACTCCTCTACTGAGTTATAAAGCAGGTAAACACATAAGAGCAAAGAATGATCTCCACCTGGTGTTACTTGAATTCGAGGGAACGCTATTGCTACTACACTCCTGCTTTTGTGGGGGAAAATGTTTTTCTGCCTCAGAAGTTAACAGTTGAGTGTTTAGCTCCTGACCTACCTATAATGTATAGGCAGTACCATTGCTGTTTAGGTGATTATTTGCCTAACAAAGGGGCTTTTTGGTTTTGGTTTTGGTTTTGGTTTTGGGGTAGATTATATAGTAGACAACTTTAGTGACTAGGTATGTGGATGATGTGTTGGGAGGAGGTATACAACACTTAGTGGAATGGTATGGTATGTTTTATGGAAGAGAATTCATAGGCGGGGAGATCACAGTATACTGTGAAGTGGGATTTAAACAGCACACAGCCTCTGGTTTGCGCACATAACTGTAGTTTGTATACGCGGACTTAACAAATTTTGTTTCTGCTGCCAAAAGGAGAGCTCCTAGAACTGTTAAGAAGGCCATGCCCGCCACATTGGTAAAACTGTGATTTCATCCCTGCCCCAAATCATCACGATCTTCAGGATTTCAGAGTGACTGTCTAATGGATAGGGTAGAAGCTACAGTGGAGGTGATTTGGTCTATACTGAGTTCCATGTGCAGGTGGATGTGAAATCCTGGTGTAAACCAAACATAATGCTTATTAGACAATAACCTCTAACCTCACCTCCAGCCCCCAAGTATATGGCCCTGCTGGGTCACATGGCAACTAAAGTTTCCTAGATTTGCTTTAAATTCAAGGTAGTAGCCCAGTTGAATTGGTGGGGAAGGAAGTCAAGGAGGAAAGGCTGTTGAAGAGCTTTCTCCTGCTTAAGAGAAATATATGCCCTAGAGCTGCTCCAGTACCCTTGGTATCTGAATTTTTTTATATATTGAATATGGATTAGAAGAATGAAATCAGATGACATTTGACGGCAAAAATGTTTATAAGCAAATAGCTTAGCCTTCTTACATTTTGGTATAAAGCTGTGAACTTCATAACTTTGTAAAGCAAGATATAAAGCAAATACAAGAGGAAAATAAAGTACTTTTACTAATTGTTTACTTTTGCTACCTTATCTGCATATTAATAGCCCATCCTTTTTTCTCCATGTCGGTATAGACAGCAAGAAGGAAATTGAGTGGAAAACACAAGATGGTTATAGATATACCACAGACCATGGTCCAGATAAGTTTGGCAAACAACTACATTTAAGGATTTGTCCAAGGTCATAAAATAGGTCAGTCATTTAGTGAAGGAGCTAGGATTAAAACTACATCTTCGGGGTTCAAGATGGTTGTATAGGAAGACTTTGAATTCATCTCCTCCCACAGATAACAAATTTTCAGTTATATAAAGAATAATTTTCCTCTGCAAATGACCTGGGAACTAGATTAACAGCATCTCCACAACAAAAGATAAAAGAGATGCATTGAGACAGGTAGGAGAGGCAGAGACGCGGTCTCCCTCCGGATCCTACTTGAGGTACGATGACCCACTATCAGGAAGGGATCCCCAAAATACAGCGCTTTTCCTCGAAGAGTGAAGGAGTATGCCCTCACTTCAGGCATCCAGACCCTTGTGTCTGGCACCAGAAAGACAAGCTCCCCAAACATCTGGTTTTGGATTATTAAGTCCAGGGGAACCATAGAACTGTAGAGAACAAAGAACCTGCTCGTAAAGGGCTCACACGCCCATCCACTCATCCTGAAAACCACTGCAAAAATAATTTGAAAAGAGCCTAGACTATAACTGAGGGAGAGACCCATTTGTTAATCCTAACGTGACTACAGGCAAGAACCTGCAGTGACTTTCTCTGGGGACAGAAGCACTGGCTGGTGCCATTTTTGCAATCTCATTCTAACTAGCTGGTAACAGAGTTGGTGGGCACCATGTTTGGTGCCCTCCCTCTAGCCTGCTAGCACTGATAAGCATGCTCCTTGTCCCACTGAACCTATGCAAGCAGCCACACCACAACTGGGCCAAGTGAGTACATTGCATCTGGGCTGGGCATGTTCCATGTTCACCCTCCCTCTGCAACAGCTGTGCCACAACCAGATGGGCTCAATAGATATGTACAGAACATTCCATTCAAGCAGCAGAATACATATTCCATGCCCATGGAACAATCTCCTGGTTAGATTAGCAGCAAAACAAGTTTCAATAAATTGAATATTGAAGTCATATCAAGCATATTCTCCAACTACAATGGTATGAAACTAGAAATCAGTTATAATAAGAAAACTGGAAAAACCACAAAAATAGGAGATTAAACATGCCACTGAACCATCAATAGGTCATTGAAATAAAGGAGATAGAAAAAAATACCTAGAGACAAATGAAACAGAAATACGACATACCAAATCTATGGGCTACAGCACAGACCTAGTTCAAGAAAAAAAGCTCAAGTAGTCTAATGTTATAGCTAAAAGAACTTAAAAAAAAAGGGAAGAAACTGGTACCTGGGTGGCTCAGTTGGTTAAGGGTCCAACTCTAGATTTTAGCTCAGGTCATGATATCAGGGTCGTGAGATTGAGCCATGCGTCAGGCTCTGTGCTGGGTGTGGAGCCTGCTTGGGATTCTCTCTCCCCTGACTCATGCGCATGCTCTCTCTTAAAAAAAAAAAGGTGGGGGGGGGAGGAAGAAACGAAGCCCAAAAGTAAGTAGAAGGAAGGAAACAAATATATTTATATAAAAAAGAGACTACCAAGACAGTAGAAAGATAAATGACTAAGAGATGTTGCTTTGATAAAACAGACAAACCTTTAGCTAGACTCACCCAAGAAAAAAAGAGGACTCAAAATCAGAAATGAAAGAGGAGACATTACGACTGATACCACAGAAATACAAAGGGTCATAAGAGACTACTGTGAACAATTATATACCAACAAATTTGATGACCTGGAAAACATGGATAAATTTCTGGAAACAACCTACCAATGCTGAATCAAAAGGAAATAGAAAATCTTTGAACAGACTGATTGCTAGTAAGGAAACTCAAATCAATAATCAAAAACCTCCCAACAAACAAAAGCCCAGGACCAGACAGCTTCACTGGTGAATTCTACCAAACATTCAAAGAAGAATTAATACCAATTCTTCTCAAATTCTTCCAAAAAAAAAAACCAGAAGAGAAGGGAACATTTCCAAACTCATTCTATAAGGCCATCATTACCCTAATACCAAAACAAGACAAGGATGACACTAGAAAATTATAAGCCAGTATTCCTGATGAATATACACTCAAGAATTCTCAACAAAATATTAGCAAATCAAATTAAACAATGCATTAAAAAAAAGAGTCATACCCCATGATCAAATGGGATTTACTCCAGTGATACAAGGATGGTTCAACATCTGTAAATCAATGTAATTAACCACATTAACAAAAAGAATGATAAAAACATGATCATCTCAATAAATGGAGAAAAAGTATTTGACATAATTCCAACACCCATTTATGATAAAAACTCTCAAAAGTGGTGGGTATAGAGGGAATATACCTCAACATAATAAAGGCCATATATGACAAGCCCACAGCTAACAACATAATGGGGAAAAGCTGCAAGCTTTTTCTCTAAGATCAGGAACGAGACAAGGGTGCCCACTCTCACCACTTACTCAACATAGGTATTAGAAGTCCTAGGCAAAGCAATTAGGTAAGAAAAAGATATAAAAGGCATCCAGATTGGAAAGGAAGAAGTAAAACTGTCACTATTTGCAGATGACATGATATATATATAGAAAACCCCAAAGACCCCACAAACTTAGAATAAAAAGAATTGAGTGAAGTTGCAGGATACAAAATCAAGATATAAAAATATGTTGCATTGCTAAACACTGATAATAGTTTGAACTATCAAATCCAGAAAATCCCATTTACAATTGTATCATAAAGTGCCTACGAATAAATATAACCAAGGAAGTAAAAGACCTATACACTGGAAACTATAAAACATTAATGAAAGAAATTGAAGACACAAATAAATGGAAAGATATTCGGTGCTCATGGATTGGAAGAATTAATATTGTTACAATGCCATACTACCCAAAGCGATCTACAGATTTCAGCGCAATCCCTGTCAAAGCCCCAATGACATATTTCACAGAAATAGAATAGACAATACTAAAATTTTTTAAGATTTTATTTATTTGACAGAGCGGAGAGAGGGAACACAAGCAGGGGGAGTGAGAGAGGGAGAAGCAGGCTTCCCACTGAGCAGGGAGCCCAATGTGGGGCCAATCCTCAAATTTTTATGGAAGCACAAGAGAGCCCCAAAACCCAAAGCAATCTTAACAAAGAAGAGCCAAGCTGGTTGCTCCCTGGTTTCAAACTATTCTACCAAGCTATAGGAATCAAAACAGTATGGTACTGGCAAAAAACACACCCAGATCAATGGAAGAGAACTGAGAACCCAGAAATAAACCTACACCTATACAGATAATTTCTGATAAGGAAACCGAGAACATACAATGAGAAAGGACACCCTCTTAAATACATGGTTTTGGGAAAACTGATCAGCCACATGCAAACGAAAGAAACTAGATCATTATCTTATGCCATGCACAAAAATTTATTCAAAACGTATTAAAGGCTTGAATGTGAGACCTGTTCCTAGAAGAAAACATAAGTGGTAAGCTCCATGACAACAGTCTTAGCATTGTTTTTGTGATCAGACTCCAAAGGCAACAGAAATAAAAGCAAAAATAAACAAGTGGGACTTGATAAGCGGAAAGGTTTCTGCACAGCAAAGGAAACCATCATCAGAATGAAAAGGTAACCTACTAAAAGGAAGAACATAATTGGAAACTATACATCTGATAAGGGGTTCATATGTAAAATATATGAAGAACTCACACAACAACAAAAAAACCAATTAAAAAATGGAGAGAAATAGACATTTCTCCAAAGAAGACATTCAGATGGCCAGCAGGCATGTGAAAAGATATTCAACATCATTAATTGTTAGGGAAATGTAAATGAAAACCCATGAGTTATCACCTCACATCTGTCAGAATGGCTTTTATCAAAAAGATTAAAAGTAATAAGTGTCAGTGAGGATGTAGAGGAAAGGGAATCCTTGGACACTTGGTGGGTTATAAGTTGGTGCAGTCACTTTGAAGAACAGTATGGAGATTGTTAAAAAAATGAAGAATGACCGTGTGATCCAGCTATTGAACTACAGAGTATTTGAAGGGTACCAAAACACTAATTTGAGAAGATACCTACACTCCTATGCTCACTGCAGCATTCTTTACAGTAATCAAAATATGGAAATAGTCTAAGTGTCCATCAGTGGATGCGTGAATAAAGAAGCTATGGCGTATATGTATGGCATACTACTGAGCCATAAAAAAAGAATGAAATCTTGCTATTGGCAACAACATAGGTGGACCTTGAGGGTATTAAGCAGTGAAATAACTCAGAAGGAGAAAAACAAATACTGTATGGTCTTGCTTGTACATGGAATCAAAAAAAACAAAACTCAGATACAGAAAACAGATCAGTGGTTACCAGAGGGAGAGAGGTTTGGAGGGGTGGAAGGTGGGTGATAGGCGCGAAAGGGGGTGGATGGTAGGGTGATGGATAGCAAGCAGACTTTTGGGTGATTATAGTGTCTACAGATGTCCAATCACAGTGTTGTATACCTGACACTCCTCAAAAACAAAAACCACAACTACATCTCTGTTGCATTACACTCCGGTAACTGGCCCCTCCAGTGACAGGGCTGCTCATTTATTCTTGATATTCTATACACCAACAGCTCTTCCCTTTCTTACCGATCTTGAAAAGTATCGGAGTGATTCCTATGTTCAAGAAATACCAATAGGCACGGTTACCATGGGGTCCAGGTTTTGTTTGTGTGTGCAGTTGTGTCTCTTGTCTTCTGAAACTCGGGCTCTCTGCATGACAGTTGAGTGTAACATTGGAAGCTACTCAGCCCTGCTCTGGCTGATATTCTAAATGTGAGAAGACAAAACACAACTGAACCAGCCATACACATGCCTTTATTTAGATCAACTCTTTTTCAGAATGCAGCCAAACTTATGAGTCAGACAGCCCAAAGTATCCAGCCCTCTTCCACTGAGCTAGTTTATCCCGGAGCAGGCCCATCCTGAAACAATGAGACAGAACCAAGTGCTAGTTTGGTTACCGTCCCATGGGTGACACGAAGGCGATGGAGGACACTAGCACAGGAAGTGCTGAGTGCCATTGGCAAATGCTTCTGTGAACAGCCTAGGGCAAGCTAAGGAGAGCATTTACTTCAGAGCTGAGGCCACTCAGATCCTGAGCAAACGTCTCAGCTGGGCTACAACTTGCTGAGGCAGACAGACACTTGGCTCCATGTGGCAAAAGGACAAAATTATTCTCTCTCATTTCTTAACTGAAGGGTCAATGTGGGCGTGACAGATGGACAGATGCCCTGAGGCCGAGTGGGGAGTGAAGCAGAGGAGGAACAAGACCGATGAGGTGCCTGGAGGCTTGCTGGGGGGCCGGGCAGGGCGCAGCTACAGTGTCCTTTGAGGTAAGTGGCTCTAGCTATATTGGATGAAATGGATATCCTGAGTGATCTGTATGGCCTTGGATGAGGCCAGCTTGGTTCAGGCATACATGGTGAGCTGCAGCCACTGAAAGAGGAAGTCCCAAGATCAGAAAAGAGAGCCAACCAAGAAAAGAGAGCCCAACCCTAAGGGTCTGATAGGGTGGGGGGAGAAGGACAGCCCCAGCATGCCAGACCCTGGAAAGATTTTCTAAGAAGCAGTGGTTTAGGGCCTGCTTCCCCAATCTCTACTAGGAAGGTATGTTTTCCAGCAGAAAAGCCTTTTAGGATCTGAGTACCCTTTGGAGTCTTCCCCCAGTACTCATTTCCTATGAGCTTGCCTTTCTATTCCTTTCCTAGGCCATCCCTCCCCCAGCATTGGAAGTGAGGAGCACACAGTGCCTCCAGTTGCCCTCATTGGCTCCTCTACCCGGAATTTTAAGGTACAGGGTGAATATACTGCTTCTATTAGGCTTTACCTCTAGAACGTTGAGTTTGATGATACCATCTCCATCCTTGTCAAATGCATTAAAAGCTCCTGTGGGGAAGAACACAGGCAGTTACGGGCTCACTTCCCCTCCACTACTGTAACTTCTCTTCAGAAGACCATGTGCTAAGTGCTGTCCTTCAGCACAAAAATGTGCCAGGCAGAGTATGCACAATCACCCTCCCTTTACCAGCCCATTCTGAGCTTAAAGCGGGCCTTTGCCTTTGTTCAGCTTGGAGAGAGTAGACTGGAAGATGGTCAGGCCAAGATTTCTACCACTGCTGCCATCCGGCCCCAGGGTGCGGAAGGGCGGCCCCCCACTTACTGAACATGCCCTCCAGCCTGACGAAGCAGCAGATGAAGCTGTCGAAGTCGATGTTCATGTGTTTGTCTGCATAGCGCATGGTAATGATGTCGTAGAGCTGGCTGTTGAGGTGAAAACCTGTGGAGGGCGGCGTGGGGAAGGAGGAAGTAGGCTGAGTCCTTGCCTGCATTCTGTCCTATTCCCTGCCTCTCAGCAACCCCGTGTCCCTCCTCTGTCCCCCCAACCCACTGATTCCACCAGCCCTGTCCACGTCCCCGCCCCCCACTGTCTTCCCCAGCACCTGCGTCATTGACTGCATTTCGCATCTCATAGCTGTTGATGGTACCAGACTGGTCTGTGTCATAGTGTTTGAAAATTCTCTGGCAACAGAAAATTTGCGGACAGAGGTCACACAGTAAACCCCTGAATTAGCCCCCCTCCTTCACTCCCATGCTTCCTTCTCTTCTCACCTGCCAGGCTTTAATCTTCTTCCAGAGGTGGTGGAACTCTTGCAAGTTCAGTCTCCCAGAGCCGTCTGTCTGGAGGAAGGAGGTCAGGGCTACAGGACACGCATAGCGAGATCCCCCTGGACTGGGAGGAGGGGGTTCTAGCGACTACAGGGAAGGTCACCTCACAGGAAGGCTCTGCCCCAGGTAGCCTCCCACTGCCCTCTCCTGGTATTTAACCCTCCCTTCCACGCCTCTGCAGTCAGAGTTCGTGTCTGCTCTAAAACCCAGGGAGCCTGTCTCCTCAGGACCATGTTGGCTTGGACCAGGCCCTAGGCAGAATCCTAGGCCTGAGGTGAGGGCAGAGGTTAGGGGCTGGTTATAGCCCAATGTCCTGCCCAATTGTGCCTCCTCCAACAGCCCCCTTCAGACCAGTAGCTCAGGACCTCAAGTCCTCCCTTAGGCACAAATTTGGGCCTCTCTTTCTGACTGGGCACCCCTTGTTGCCTTGGCCCCCGTGGGCTGCACAGGGGCTGATGACAGAGAAGCATAGTGGGGAAGAGCGGCAGGAAGGATACATCCATGAGGGCAATCATGCTACGGCAGGACTCCAGCGTGAACCCTTGAGTCTTCAGGTCCTTATCTGGGCGGTAGGGAAAAGAGTGAGGAGCTTCTTTCAGGTACCCGGACACCCGCTCCTGCCTGCCCGTCCTCCATATACACTGTGAGCCACTCACGTTTGTTCACAACCGTGTTAAGGATATTCTTGAGCTCATCTGCACAGACCTCCATGTCCTGAGGAGGAAGGGAGTAGAGAAGAACAGTTCTAGAGGGCAGCTCCTGATGGAGCACAGGGTTTGCAAAACAAGTCCCTGTGCTTGTCAAGTCTCCATCACTGCCATGCTGTCCTGGGAAGCCGGGGCTTTTCCAAGGAAGACACGGCGCCCTCCACGTCCAGACTGCAGTGGGCAGCTCAGGGCAAAAAGGCCTCTGAGCCACCCAAGCAGATGATGGTCTAGGACCTGACTGGTGGGTTTTTTCTGTGCTACACATACATAGCCCCTGCTTCCACCAAAAGCCTAATGACCCCTACTGAACAATAATGAAATAACCAGTCATTTGAGCAGGAGAGGAGTCAGGGTCGGCAGTACTCACATCGCCTGCTATCTGCCTAAAAATGTTCCGGAATTGCAACTGCTCCTCACTCTCTTGGTCAGTGTTGCCAGGCCGTGACTGTGGAAGCACAAAGGAAAACTGGTTCACAGGTAATCAGGGAGATGGGCAGATGCAGGAGGAAAGTTCTTTCAGGGCCGAAGGAGCCAGAGTGCCTAAACAGGCCTAGGTGGCAGCAGGAGCTGGATACAGGACAAAGGCTTTTCTTTCTTAGTTGAGCCTAGTGAGCTGGAGTGAGAATCCTCTAGGCCCCAGTGACCCTTCATTCCAGACATCCTAGCCAGAGAGCTTACGTCAGCCATGCAGACATGTGGACAGCCCCCTTGGCCCTCTCTCCCCACCCCCACCAGCTAGAGCCTTCCCCCCACTGTTTTCAACTTGACCTTCTCAACCAGATGAGAAGGACAGAGAGGACCAGAGCATTCTGACACCTCCAGCCACCTGTGTCCACCTGTGTCTTCAAGGCTAAGTCCTCAGAGGACCCCCCACTCCGCTGCATGGACACTGCAGCATAGAGGACGTGGCCCTGGCTTTGTCTGTGGGCTTTGGTCCCTTAGCCTCAGCTCCACTAAGCTTTCTATGCCCCCTTCTCCCCACTTCAATAGAATACCCTTCCCTGGGCTCTGCGGGCCTCCATTTCTGAGGTCCACCCCCTTTTCTGCTACTATCCTCTATCCTCTCACTGTCAAGAGCTCGAAGATACCAGGAAACAGGGGTTGCTCTGTCTTGGGCTCTCTCAAGCTGTTGCGTCTCAGACTTTGCCTCCCCTTTCCTTCACTGTCCGGGCTGGGGGCTCCAGCGGGCAGGCTCAGCCTGTCCTTTCCAGGTCCAGGACTGGGGTGGAATGGCTGCCAACCCCCAAGACATTCACCCAAGCAGCACCCCAAATTTTAGGAGAACATGATGAGAGAAAAGGTCAGTGGGATACATCCAAACCTCCAGATGCTATAGGGACACCCCACCCTACAGCCCCTACAATCCAGAGGACCCCACGGTACGCTGGCCACCCCATTCATGCCACATGCTCAAAAACCTGTGGGGATTTCTCTTGCTTATCAGGGCTCGTTTTGTCTTTGCCCTCCTCTGATTCCTGGTCCACACCCAGTTCCTTGTTGCTGTTTGCTCTGTCCGAAACGAAGATGATGGGCTGGAGAGAAGAGGGAAGTGGGGAAGGGGCAGGAAGGAAGCAGGGATTACAGGCTGAGCGGGCACATGGATGCAGCCTCCTTCCTGGAGCAGCTTTGTCCAATGAAGAGAAGAGCAGAGTTGGGAGCTCTTGAACCTCAGTCCCAGCTCCATCCCTGCCACTAGCAAGCTGTCTGTGATTTGGGGAAAGATGCTAAGTCTTGATGGGCCTCCATTGCCCTGCCTTTCAAGCATGTTTCAAGTAAAAACATGGGTTTAGAGCAGGTAGGTATGACTTCCAGGTTCCCCACTCATTAGTTGTGTGTGCTTGGGCAAGTTTCTTCACTTCTCTGAATATCTGTAAACTATAGAAACTATCTCAGTTCCTTATCTCCTGATGGTGGAGCTCTGAGGGTTAAACAAGGCCGTCAGTACACATGAAAATGCTAAGAATGTTAGAAGCAGTGTGATTTAGTGCAATGATTTTCAAATATCATGGAGGCTTTTTTTTTTTTCAAATGGAAATACTGTTCAAATTAAATTTCTCCAGAAGCCCAGTGTATATGAAGTCATTAAGAACAAGCTTCTCTGCTCAATGAAGAGGGTAGAGCTTTTTTCCCTCAGCACACCCATGTCACCCATGGTAGCTGGGAGGCACTGCCAAGGAACCTCTATGACTCTGCAGAGGACAGACTGAAAAAAGGTCTCAGATTAGTGGCACGGTCAGTGGGGGAGAGGTCAGAACACTGAGCTGGAAGTCCAGCGCTGCCCTCACATACAAGCAATATCCTCTCTGGACTCAGGTTACTCATCCATTAATGTGGATGACAAAACCTGCTTGACCTTTCCCATAGGGCTCTTGGGTGGGGGTGCGCATGAGATACCGAGTATAAAATTGTACTGCAAAATATTTCAGACTCAAGACATGCTCATGCAAGTGAAGAGGACACAAAAAGAGTAGAGAGCAGTTGCCATGCTACTTGGATCCTAGCTGGAGCCATACGCTGCACAGGGAAAACTAGAAGGCTAGGGCGTCAGGGCTGTGGCTGCCGTGCAGAAAGCAATGGGGCAATCAGAGTCTCTCAATGCAGAAAAGCAACCTGACCAGTTTCTGAATCTCCGTCTGCTTTCCCATGCTATTCATCTAGAACAGCACCATGGGCAGACCTGTGGAAACAAGCTTCCAGAACTTTGGTTCCCAGCAGGCCCCAAAGGCCCTGGCTTGCCCTGCCTTTCAAGCAAAGGGTTTTGTTCAAGCAACTGATTCTTGTAGGGGTCCTAGAGCCAGTGTGGATCACAGTTGGAGGGGAAATGTGTGCCTCTGGACGTGGTGTGTCCATGGGTCACCCCTGCTAAGGCACACGTCTCCGGGCCTAAGTGTGGGTCTGGATAACACAGGTCTTGGAGTGTAAGGAGCCTGAACCAGATTGTTGAGGGCAAGAAACATGGGTTTAGAGCAGATAGATATGGCTTCCAGTTTCCCCACTCATTAATTGTGTGTCCTTGGGCAAGTTTCTTCACTTCTCTGAATATCTGTAAACTATATATAGAAAGGGAATGATAATAGCACCTACCTTATAGATACTGTTGTAACAGAAAGCAGTGTATGTTTTACCCCTAGCACAGTGTCTCATATGTGGTAGGTGCTTGATCAATGTCAGCTCTGGTCTGCACCAGCTTCAATACTCAGAGGACCTCTATGTTGGATCTTTCCAGGAACCACCATAAACACTAACACCAAACCTTGTCTGATGGCCTATGGCTACTACCTCATGGGCTTGAGGATGCTCAAAGGTCAGTCATTTCCAGATGGCACTCTTGAGTGGTCAACCCAAAATTTGGAAAGGGTTAGCCATCATGGGTAGGCCCTGGAGACCATGGGAAGGTTATGGGGTAAATGGAACAAGGATGTAGGAGAGAGTTTGAATTGCTCAACAACTGTAGTCTTGAATTCTAAAATCACACAAAGGGAACAGTGCCCCTGGTCCCAGATGAAAGCTTTGCTCGGAGGCCCCTGAGATGCTTTAAGCACACATGGTCGCCTTTAGCAATAGTGTCCTTACAGCCAAATGGTTATAACCAGGACACATAGGAGGAGATCTTAGAGGCCCTGGTGAATCCATAAATCACCACAACCTACCAAGACCCCACGAGGGGAAGCTGCCCAGGTAGCTCTCATTCCCCATTAAACCAGTCAGGTTGATGAGCTCTTCTGGGGCTGTGAGGGTGAAGATCTCTTCCCTCTTCCCCACTGCTAGCTGGACACAGCATGCCGAGTCTGTTGGGTCCCATGGCTTAGCGGAGCCTGCGTTTGGAACGAGAGGTCACCTGTCTAGAAGGGGATTTGGAACAAGAGCTTCTCCTGGAATAAGAGCCCCGGCAATGACTTAGCCTCTCTGGGCATCCTCTTCTGCTCCAACCCCAGCAGGCCAAGGAAAAAGGAGGAGTGGGGAGCAGGCAGGGAAAAGAAAGGAGGGAGAAGGAGCAGTCCTGTCTACAGAGCAGGTGGCTGGCATCTTGAGACCGTCTCCTTGGAAACCCTCACACACCTATCTCACTGTACCCTGAGAAACAACCAGCTGCCATTCCTCCCAAGAATCAAGCCTTGCTTAGCAGAGCCAAACCCACTTCTGAGAAAGAAGGGGTGCTCCTTCTGGTTTTTGCAAGAGGCCCGTTTTCACTGGTTGGCCATCCCCTCCCTCCCTCATTGGAGAGGTGGGCATGGGGGTGCCGAGCAGACTCTGGGGCCAGACTGCCCGGCTCCCAGTGCGGGCTCTGCCACTTGCTGGCTCTGTGGCCTTAGACAGGTCAGTTCATCTGTACCTTGTTGTCCTCTGGAAGTGGGGATACTAACAGTACCAGTCTCACAGGGTCGTTGTGAGGATTGAGTATATCCATGCAAAGCACCTGGAAGAGTGCCTGGCATGCAGCCTTCCCTTGGCCAGTGTAACACTGGTCCACACCCAGAGCTGCACCTCGGGCCCAGGAGGGTGGTGGGGGGGGGGTGGTTAGCCCAGTGATGGGTATTAAGGAGGGCACATACTGCATGGAGCACTGGGGGGCGGGCAGTGAGGGAGGAGGCAAGTCTGGTACACATGCTGTCACACACACACATGCACAAACACCCTCTGCTGTCTGCCCACTCACCCTGTTACACCCACCTTGATTTTTTTCTTTTTCTGCATAAGGAAAGGAAACAATAAATGCAGAATAAGTGAAAGTCAAGTTTCCAGAAAACCCAGTGGCTTTTGGCTTCCCTGTGACCTGGTCCTCAGCTTCGGGTGAGGTTCCGGGGTCCAGGAATCTGGGCTACATAGAACCAAAAGAGGCCTGGAGGGTGAAGGGAGGTGAGAATTTTCCGGGCTCAGAGACTGGCGGCTGCCCTGGTTTATAGTCCACTCCTATTCTGGACACCGCCCAGGAAAGGGATCTTCTGGCTAATGTTTTGTATTTTTTTTTAATTTATTTATTTGACAGAGAGAGAGAGACAGCGAGAGAGGGAACACAAGCAGGGGGAGCGGGAGAGGGAGAAGCAGGCTCCCCGCTGAGCAGGGAGCCCGACGCGGGGCTCGATCCCAGGACCCTGGGATCATGACCTGAGCCGAAGGCAGTCGCTTAACGACTGAGCCACCCAGGTGCCAGTGTTTTGTATTTTTAATGGAAGTTAGTTACTAAAACACCAAAAGAAGTGGCTCACCCAAATTGGCCTAAAAATGAATTTTGTTTGATTTACAGAGTTTTGGGTTTTGTTTTCTTTTTTGTTTTTTTCTGTTTTTGTTTTTGCGAATATTTAACGTAGGGAGAGACTTAATATGGAAACCTAGGTTTGGGGCTTTAAAAAATAAAACTAGAAGGTCTGGCAGGCTGCATGTGCCTGCGACCCGCTGTGGCAAAAATGGGGAGCTGAGAGTAGCTGCTGTCTGCGCCCTCCAGATGCCACAGTCACCACCACTCCAGTTGTCCCTCTGAAGCTTAAGAGTCAGTTGAGAGCTGCAGGCCATATGCGTGTGTCCAGGGACATCCAAACCCCCACACCTGCCTGCCCTGTTCATGTGGCATGCCAGTTCCCATACTCTCCTGAGTTTGAAATTCCTGATAAATACACTACCCTGATGACTAATGTTTAAAGATAAGAATGGGGGCGCCTGGGTGGCTCAGTGGGTTAAGCGTCTGACTTCGGCTCAGGTCGTGATGTTGGGGTCAAACCCTGCATTGGGTTCCACACTCAGGGGAGTCTGCTTGTCCCTCTCCCTCTGCCCCACCCCTTGCGTGTGCTCTCTCTCTCTCTCTCTCAAATAAATACATAAAATATTTAAAAATATATAAAATAAAAGATAAGAGCAGAACCAAATGCACTTAATACTAAAACCAGTGTCCCGTGATAATTCAGAAGGCACTTCGACAGGGTCAGGATTAGAACCGTGAGTATGACTACCCAGAAGACAGTTCGGTGGGGCATTTGCTGTCCTCTTATTGGCCAAAGTCACACAGCACAAGGGACTGGTTTACAAACCAGGGCCCCAAGGCCCAAGGCAGGCACAAGACTCCTTAATACAAGGAGACACCACATAACGCCAACTCTGTGCTTGTAACTCTGGGATTCACATCCCTGGGAACAGGTCTCGGCATGGCGACCAAGGAAAGAGCCTGAGCCTGGGCTCCAGGAATCTGGATGTCAGTTCCAGCCCTGCCACCTGTGAGCTCTGGGAACTCAAGGGAGCCATTTAACCCCACTGAGCCTCTCCTCCCTTACTTTAATGCCATGGATAATAATCTTATTGCATCTCAGAAACCTTGCAAGAATCAGGTGAGGTAATGCACGGGAGAAGTACCTTGTAAGATATAAAGCCCATGACTAATAGCCACCATGTGGGAGCCCATGCTGTGCCAGACACTTCACATACATGATCTCACAGATTCCAACATCACAAAAGCCTTGCAAGGCACCTCCTATTATCCCTATTTGACAGAGGAGGAAAACTGAGGGGTTATGTAACTTGTCCAAATCACCCAGGTGGTAGGTGGAGGACCCAGGTTTTGACACTGACTCCAGAGCCAGTGTGTATATTATGTATCTGAGATTGGCCCTCATAATGCAAGCTAGTTGCTGCCCTTGGTGTCCCTTCCTATGGCCTTGACCCCTCCCTCTAGCAGTTCAAACCGCTTCTCCCCTCTAGGACTCCCTTCTGCATGTCCTAGCTCCTGGGCTATGTGGCCCCAGCGCCATGAGGCCTGTTACTCTAGTCATGGCAAAGAAAAATTGCAAGAATGTGAAAGAATTGCTCTGCATGCCCCCCGACTCCCATCTTCCTCTGCCAGTACCCTCTCTCCCCTCCCCCCACCCTTCTCTCCCTGCCTGGATTAGGGAAGGTGACCTTCGGGACCTTTTCACACATTAGAACCAAACCACTCACCACTGGCCGATCCACGGAGATTGTATTTTCAACTTCCCTGTGAGAAACACAAATGGTTGGGGGGAGGGTCTCAGTGTCACCAGGAGCAAGCAGGAAGCACAGAGAGGATTTGCTCAGGTCACGCAGCTTCTCAGAGCCAGATCGGGACTGACCTCAAAGGAACCCCAGGACCTAATTCTCCCACCGCAGGAACCAGCCTCATGTCGGCACCAGCCCCAGCAGCCAAGGGCACACACATGGGTTCTTGTTGGCTTTGCCCAGAGCTCCTCAAATTCAGGCCCAGCCACCTACCCAGGGACCTTGTGTTTCTTTCAAGGGAGAGTTCAGAGGAGTTGGGCTTATGAGCTCATCTGCAGTGACCAAAAATGCAGGATATGGCCGTGCTGACTTCCCTGGCCACCTTACCTAAAAATTCCATCACCCCCAATGCCTCCTCTCCCTGTTCCCTACTCTCTTTCTTTCTTATCACTTATCTTCCTCTAACATATATATGTGTGTGTTTCTCCCCATGCCTTGTCTCCTGTTAGAATGTTAAACTCCACGAGGGCAGGGATTTCTTTGTTTGATTCACTGCCTATCCTCAGTGCCTAGAAGAAGAGTGCCTGGAACACAGCAGATGCTCAAGAAGTATCTGTGGGATGACAGACTGACTGAATGGAGGAGGTGGGACCAGTGGCTCGGGAGCAGGGGAAGAGGGGCAGCCTGGTCAGCCTATCCAGGACTTCTAGAGGGGACTGGCCCAGCTACCTCATGCCTCCAATCTCTGGAATGGGCTGCATGGGCTTTTAGGGACAGGTGGGGAACGGGGGGCTGACTCACTCAGAGAGGTTCCTCTTTTCGGAGAAGACCCGGAGGATGAATTCTCCCTCCTGGTGGGGCTCATAGGTGGAGGGCACAATGACGTACTCGCTGGGAGGCAGGCGGAAGCGCTCGGACACCTCTCGCATGTTGATGTAGGTTTTGCTCCTGGCCTTGGAGGCATTGTACAGGAAGAAGTCCTTCTGCAGGTGCTGTTTGTTCCCGTGCATCTGATGGAGAGAAGAGCCAAGGGACTGAGCTCCTTGCGAAGGACACCAGTCCTGCTCACAGCCCCCTGGGGGTCTCTTCCCGACTCCCTGGTCACCCAGTTCACAGTCATGACCTACCTACCTCCGACTCCCAAGGCCTCAAATAGCTCAATATCCCTGGAGCTCCCTACCCCATTTCCTCCTCCTTTTCTGTTGTGATTCAGAAGTGAAGGCCAAGTCTATCATTCCCCCACTTACCGGAACTGCTGCTGGTCAGCTCCAAATCACCTCCAGGCTGGGGAAGGACCCCAAGGAGGCAGGAGGGGCCTTGGCTGGGGTCTGAGGGAGGCGATTCCTCCATCCCAAAGAGGGCAGTCACCCTCAGAATGTGTCTGTGTGACTGTGTGTGTGTGTAATTGTGAGTGCAAATGTGTATGAGTATGAGCAATTGTGTGCACATGCGTGTGAGACATGAATATGAATGTGTGAGAGCATGTGTGTGACTGTGGTGGGAAGGGAGAAAGGGCACATCATGACGGTGACAGTCGGGAGGTCACCCTGAGGCACCCTTTCTGGAGTTCGTGACACAGGCAAGACCCTCCCCTATCATAGTCCTGCCGTCAAACCCCACCAGGAAGCTTCCCGACGTGCCACTGACGGACACAGGACCCCCGGGCAATGCTGCACACAATTGTTGGCCACTGCCACTTCTATACCTCTTTGGGAACCTTGGGGAGAAACAGAAAAAAGAAGATGCTCAGATTCTGTGGATTTCACATCTGAATCGGGATGAAAAGCACGCAGGAAGGGAATGCCAGCAAGCATGGAGTGAATGCAGAAGCCTGATTTCCCACCACCTATCCAGCCAGCCCCAGCCCCACTCCGCCTCTCCCATCCTGAGTTTTTTCCTCCTGTGACAAATATCTAAGAGCTTCTGACACAAGTGGGCCTGATACCAGGAGTTCTGGGGGTCACTGAGTACTGGGGAAGCCCCCGAAACCCTCCCCTCTGAGCAATGTATGTGTGTCTGGGGCTGAAGCTGGTCAGGAGCTGCACACCTCGTAGATGGCAAAGCCAATGGTGAAGAGGTTGGCCCCCAGCTTCCGGTCCTTCCGCCGGTTCTTCTGCATCAGGGCCACCAGGAAGCTGCAGATCACCTCAGAGTCGTCGGGGTCATCGTCCTCCTCCAGGAGCTTCAGACGGTACTGTGGGTTGGTCCAGAAAGTGTCTGTGCCCCCCAGGAAGGAAATGTACGTTCGGATCTGCCTCTCAGAGAACGGGCAGGAAGAGGAATAAGACAGAGGGGACCTGCTTATCTCCTGCCTCTAGGTGCTCAATAAATACAGAAGGAGTGATTCCAGCATTTGTCAAATGATGTGGGGGGAGCAGTGGGTAGCCTTGACCTTTCTACAGATGGAGCCCCACTGCTTGGCTGTTTGGCTCCTCCTCCCTCTCTGAACTGTGATTCTCAGTCTCTGCTGATGGCTTCCCTTTCCTCGCCTGCCCTTGAAATGCTGTTGGTCCCTGGGATGTGGGCTTAGGCCTTCCTCCCACCCCACTGTTCTGCGACCCCTAGGCCGTCTTATCCACTTTTTAACTGTCCCTGCATAATTTCGATGCAGATCCCAGCCCCCATCTGCATTTGACTCCCTCCCTCCCTCCTTCCCTACCTCTGTCCCTTCTGTCTTCCCTCCTTCCTTCTTCTCTTCTTTCCATCCTCTCTTCCACAAATATATGTTGAGTTCTAATCATACAACCAAGGACCTCTAATCTGTGCATCCAATTCTCTGTGACACATCTTCACCTGGTTATTCTACAGGGGCCTCAAACTTCCCATGTCCCCAGCTCAACTCCCCTCCCTACAAGCCCACGACCAACTCCACCGAAAAGCCAACAACACGCTGAGTTTTTTCTCCTGTGTGTCTTATGTTGCGACACTGACCCCATCCCCTCAGGCCCCCCCAAACTGAGAAACTTGAAGTCACTCTTCAGGGACTTCACCCAATATTCTGTCCCCTGAATCTGCCCCCTTCCCTCCATCTCCGCTGCCAGGGACTTGCTCCGGCTCTCATCATCTCTGGCTTGCACCCTTGCCGTCGCCGCTAACTCTGGGTTCAGTCCCATCCTCAGCATTAGGAATGCAGCATCGTTCTGACACGGTGTCCTGCTTAAAAGTTGTTACCAGCTCCCTACTGCACGCTCCTCAGCCTGGCCGTCTCCTTCTCGGTAAAATGGGGAGGGTTTCGTAAGACAAGATACCCCCCGGGAACTTAGTACAGACTCAGCTCCCCCTGGAACTGGTTCTGCGCGGCCCTTCCCCCAACCCGAGCCTCTCCCACCTGGGAAGTTGCGGCAGCCTCCGGCAGAGCAGCCCCTCACCCAGCGGCCCTCATTCACGGACACTGTCCACGTCTGCAGCTTGTCGGACTCTAGGGCATCGGCTGTGAGGTTGCAGATCTCCAGCTTCGTGAAATGGTAGATGAAATCGTCATACGACATCCTGAGGGGTTGGAAGAGAGAGACTCATGTGGGAGGCTGGGACGAGCGCAGCGCAATCAGACAGTTCAGACAAACTCGGGCACGGCCCCAGAGAGGACCCTGTCTCTCCTCGTTAGGGTACACACTATCTGTTCTCATGTCTGCACCCCAAACTAGCATCTCTTCCGGTAATGACTCAAACTTCTGTGTCCTTGATGGGAGAGCTTGGCAGCATTTAGTTCTCCAATGGAACAGTGTCCCTCTGCACTGGACCCAGGCACTGTGCTGGGCTCAGCAGAAAGAGAGACAGACAACTAAGCCAGCAATTTCGAGGATGATGAGTCTCACTAATTAATCGCAGGCCTGGGCAAAACAGGGGATCCTGAAGAAAGTTCCCTTTAAGCTGAGACTTGAGGGCTGAGTAGAAATGATCTGAGTGAAGGGTGAGCATGGCATTGGGTGAGCAAAGTAGAGCTGCCTTGGCTCAGAAGACAGCTCTGCAAAGGCCAGGGAGCAAGTAGCTGGAGCCGCGTGTGCCACAGAGGGGCACAGGTGAGGCAGGAGCCACATCATGCTGGCCTGGTCCCAGGCTCAGTCACCACCGTGACCTGGTCGGCTCCTCTCAGAACCCCATCCTTGCTGGGCCTTGGACTGGAGGAGGAGAACAGGGCCCAGATCTCCTGAGGGCCGGGGTCTGATGGCCTCTTTCCGGGGATTGAGGTTTGAGATTTCAGCTCCCCACCTCATCCCTTACCCTTCGGGGTCCTCCTGGGTCTTGGACTCACCAGAACTCTCCATCCTCAGTGACCTGGTGCTGCAGACGAGCCTTCTCAGCTTTGTCCACAAAGCTCCAGTCCTTCCAACTGGAGGGAAAATGGAGGAATTAGGGAAGGAAGAAGAAGGGGAGACCTGAGGTAGGTTGGTGCAGGAGGTATCAAGAGAAATATGTTGAAAGACTAGCCCACCTCCAAATTGCAGCAAGCATGAAGCATCAAAATGGAAATCTGATCTGATCCCCTCCGTGTAAAACCCAATAATGGCTTCTCACCATCCGCAGGAGTAAGACCTTAAATGGGTTTGTAAGGGCTTGATCCCTCTCTGGCTCAGTTTTTTGTTTTTTGTTTGTTTGTTCGTTTGTTTTTATCCCCCCTCACACTTTAAAGGTTAAGAGTTGACCTCTGGAAATAGACAAACTGGATTCCATTAGTTGTAGTTTTTTTTTTTTTTTAAGTAGGCTTCATGGCCAGCAGGGAGCCCAACATGGGGCTTAAACTCACAACTCTGAGATTAAGACCAGAGCTGAGATCAAGAGTCGGACACTTAACAGACTGAGCTACCTGGGCGCCCCTCAGGATTCCATTTAATAATACCAGTACTAGCTGCGTAACCTTGAGCATGTCGCTTAACCTCTCAGCGTCTGCTTTCCCAACTGCAAAAGGGGAATGAGTATTATCATCTACTTAGAGGGCTGCGATGAACAATGAATGAAATAACACATGCAAAAGTTTTAGACCAGCGCCTGCCCTCCAATAAATAACTGTTTGAGTTCTGAGAAGAAGACCAAGCATGTAAACATTTCCTTTCTCCTGCCACCTCAGGAAATAGCCTGGCTGCGTGTTTCTAAAGGCTGGCTGGTTTTCCATACTCTCCTCAGGAGGGAGGAAATGAAGCACATGTGTGTTTCAGTCATGCTGAGGAGAATAAAGCTAAACTGGGTTGTCCTTGGCAAGGTAAGGGATTGAGGAAGGGCTTGGGGTCAGGGAATGCTCAAGGGGAAATGGAGGTTCCGGAGAGCAGAAGGAGGGACCCAGAGCAGGGAGGGTGGTCTCCTTGCGTGACCCAGAGATGGGCCCCACTTGTCAGCAGTCCCAGCGTGGAGGCATTGGCAGGATGTGTGTTAAGGCTGGACACCAAACTATGGGGCTGGAGAACACAGCGAGGGTCCCTGTGGGTGACCTGGGCTAGTGGGCCGCTGACGGGGCCCTGAGGGCCTTCCCAGAGCAGAGAGCCTAAGTCCTATGTGGCTCTCTCTGGCAACCTTTCTCTACTCTTCCTATCCCACCCAAACTAGGTGAGGGACTCCCCCTTTGGGACCTTTATCTTCATTATTAGTGGTCGTTTTGTCCTTCCCACTGGAACTTAAAGTTCACAGGGGCAGGGCCTGTGCCTCCCTGTTCATTTCTAAGTCCCCAGGTAGTAACGTCTGGGCACAGAGGAAGTGACAATTTGTCTCACTGCTGAGGGAAGGAATGCCGCGAATGTCTGCAAGAGGCAGTAGGAAGACTAGAGTCAACAGATTATCCCAGTCTCTCCGGGGAGGCTGCCTGTTCAGGGAATATCCTCAGTGCCCAGACCTGTGCCTGCTGTCCAGCAGGTGCTCAGTGATACTAAGTGAAGGTAGAGCTGAATGAACCAGCAATGCTGGTGCCCTGGGTGGAGGTAAGCCCAGGGGCTGAAGAGCGCACGCGCAGCTACGCAGTCCGGCTATGTCCTCTCGGGAATGAAAGAGCTCGAGGGGCTGCCCCCCACTCAGTGAGGCAATTGGGATCCAGTGATTGCGTGCACTCTAAAAGCTTTGTAAATGTTTTCGAGCCATCATACAACTTGCCCGTGTTTGTTACTTTTGCTGCACCCGGTTCGTTCCTCTCGGTGATAAGCAGCAAGATCTTTCAGGCGCAGCGAAGGAGAGGAAATCTTAGCACTAGCTAGGCACTCTCCAGCTTACCATGTAAGTGGTAACATTGCTCCCATTTTACAGATAAGGAAACAGAGAAGGGAAATCACTCCTCTAGTCCAGACCCCTGCCTTCAAACTTTGCTTCTACCTGGACCTAGCCCATGCTTTCTAGAATCTTTCCTTTTCAGCCAATGGCCATCAGTGAGGTCTGTGGATACTCAGCTCCCCTGGCTCCTCTGCGGGCCCTCCCCTGGAGCCCACATCCCCTCTTCCCCTCTGTGGATCATGGGTTTTGAGGGTAATTTGTAGTACTCTTATGGTGCAGTATCCAACACAGCCTGGCCCCAGGCTCTGCGGGCCCCCGCCACCTACCCATCACTCCAGGAGCCGTTCCACTCCACCTGGCCCCAGGGGTTCCGCAGCCGCACCAGCTTCACCTTCTCTCCCTTGAACAGGGCCTTGGACAAAGAGAAAAAGCTCTCTTGGTCTGGGCCTTCCTGGAAAGGGGGTTTTCTGTCTTGCCCTGAGGGCTAGGATGGGGATAGGGAGAGAATCCTGTACAGGGGCTGTCCTGCCTGGTCCTGGTCAAGGAGACTAATCAGAGGCTCTCTGTGGAATGGCAGAGGGAATGTCAGCACCCTAAGACTGAGTCTGCAGCGGTCAGGGCTCGACTATCTGCTAAGAAGTGATTTTCCCAGCCATTATGAGCTTGAGGGGAGGAGGGAGGGTGTAAATTGTGGGGCCAGTCTAGCACACTAGGTGTCTCTGTTTGAATTAGAAAACAAAACAAAACAAAACACCCCTGCCGGCTGAGGGACTACAGACAAATGGCCCCCACAGGTGGACCGGTTAGAAAAAGGTGCCCCTTCCTCCAGTCTCTGCCAATCCCTGTGGATGGGGCCCAGCCTGCCCAGCTGTGCACAGTGGTCCTGACAAGTTTCCTGTCTCCAGCCAGACGTGCCAAGAGGAGCAAAATATTGTAACTGTTCAACTCCCGGAGCACAGGAAACACGAGAGCCCGTGAAATCAATTCCATAAAACCAAAGCGATTTCTATTTGTTCCCTGGAAATGTGGGGAAAACTGCCACTTTAGCACTAAAAGCAAAGATGATCTGAGCGCCACCTTGTGGCAAGATCCACCTCTACCCGTCCCGGGGGGGTGGGGGTGGGGGTGGGGGGCCTCCAGCCACAGGCACTGGACCCAGACCTTGAGCAGAACACCCCCCTCCCCTGTCCCGAGAGGAGGCAGGCTCTGCAGAGGTGAAGGGGCCCAGGAAGCTAAGTCCTGACTTCGGAAGGCGACCCAAGTGGCTCCCGCCCCACCAGCCTCACCTCCTCCAGCCCAGTGACAGAGTAGGCATGGCCCTTGACTAGCCCGCAAGCCATTCTTGTTTCATACTGAACCGGAACAATTGTCTGTGGAGCAAAAACCAGACAGCCTGTCAGGGGTTGGGCGGCAGAAGTTCTGTTTCCTCTGAGACAAAGTGCACATGAGGTAATTTTCCAGGTTCTGCGAGGACAAGGACCCCTCCGCACTCTGAAAGGGGGCCTCCCGGCCGTGCGAGGACCACTGCTGGCCCTTTCAGAGAGGCAAGAAGACACAGCAGAGACCAGTGGTTCCCCTCAAGCTGGTGGCCCCGAAAAGGTCTGTTCTGACCACTGGAGATCCATGTGAGGCTGGGACGATGTCGAGGTAGGCGAGAACATCCCCACTCCTCCTTTCTGGATCTCTTGGGGTCTTCAGAGGAGGAACAGGGACAGATGGCGGCTGCCCTGGGACTCAGGCTCCCCCCTTCCCCTGAGCCCACCCAGAGCTGACTCCTCCCGGAAGAGGAAAGAAGTGAGAAAAGAGGTTAGATGAAACATATAGGTCTAACCTCCTTTCTGTATATCCCCTCACGTCCTCCAGACCCACCGAGAACATGATACTCGAGAAATCAAGAGTCACAGTGCCCAGGGAGGGGAATCTGGAGGAGGCCCGAGGTGAGTCCTGCTCAGACATGACTCAGCCTAAGGGGCAGGAGAAGCTTTTCCATTTGCAGAAATTCCCAAGTGGCAGCCCCAGGAGATGCTCGGCAGAGGGGTAGGATCTCCAACGCCCAGTGAGCCCTAGACCGTATTTCTGTGGCTTCACATTGCCTGGTAATGTGACAGCTTTAAGAAGAGCTTCCGGCAGCCATGCTGGGCTGTACAGATCGTGAGCCTTTTCAAGCTCAGGGATGTGGGTGGAGCCGGGGCTCTTTGGCATCTTAGCCTCTTTAACGTCTCAGTCCTTACATGACCCAGATCATGCTGAATAGAAAGGGATGGGGCAGGAGACCCCTGGGAAACCACCTGAAACAACTCCTTTGGCATTACTTATGCACACCTAGCAAATCATCCCCTGGCAATCTATCCCAAAGGATCATCACAACACACACAAAGACGTATCTCTTAGAATGTTTTCATGATAGCATTTAAAAATAATAGCCAACATAAGAAAGAGAAAACAATCCAATTTTCCAATAATAGGGTATTGGGTTAATAAATTATAACTTATCTGTATGTCAGCATACTGTGCAGCCACCAAAAAATGTTTTAGGAGACACATTAACAATATAATTCATACTGGCATATTAAGAACATAAAGCTAGCTGAGAAAAGCATAACTGCAAAGAGGTACATAGAATATGAGATTTTAAAAACAAACATTTAGATGAACTGTATGCAAAGAAAAATCCTAGATGGATGTATACTAGATACTTAGAGTTACTACCTTTAGATGGGAGAGAATGTAGGTTAATTTTTCCTCTGTGCTTTTCTGGATGGCTCAGGCAGTATTCTTCAGTGAACGTGCATTACTTCCGAAAGTACTAGAATATAGCTCCATGAGGGAAGAGACTATTCTAGTGAACAAAAACTATTTTGTATGTTTACTAGAAGAGTGTCTGGCACTCAGTAGGAGCTCAATAAATATGTGTTGAAGGAACAATTGAATGAATTAGAAGAGGAGAAGTATTTTAAAATAAGTGAAGTCTCTCTTGTATTTCTGCTTGTTAATTTGTTATCAGACAAACTGCCAGGACCACGGGTGTGAAGGAACTCCCACAGAGATTCCCTCCAAATCCGGTCTCTCCCACCTTCTTCAGGAGCCTTGGAGTGGGCAAGTTATTCCAACCCAGACCCTTGGGAGGCCCACACAGAGGTCAGTGTGGGAAGCACTGGCTGCTGAGGGGAATCTAACACCAGGAGGCCCGGGTCATGCAGGTCAGAGGGGTGGTCAGTCCTGACAACTGAAGGTGTACACACCCGGGTCGGTCTGTCATCTGAGCCTCCGGGGATGAGGTCTGAGTCCCTGAGCTGCGAGTTATCCATATTCCTCACCATCCGCGCAATCAACTCCCCCATTTTCAGTCCAGAAGGTGATGTTCCATAGGTCATGTTTGTGCCATCCTGATGCCCGATGGGGACAAGGACAGTGCAGGAGAGGGAGCGAGAGCAAACAAGGGAGGGTGATGGAAAGGGAAGGAGACAGAGAGAAGGAAGGGGACAGACAAGGAAAAGAGGAGAGATAAACAGCGTGAATGGAGACAAGATGGAGAAAAGTGATACAGAAAGAAAATGTTCATCTATGGGTGTTTAACGCTAACTGATCTTCCCATGCTTTTGGACCCATTTGGAGTATGGGGAAAGGAAGGAAATTCGGGAATTCAGCTTGGGCCCCTTCCTCAGTGATGGAAAGGGCCAAGACTATTACACACCAAGCAGTCTCCAGGGCAGGTGTGTCTCCTGAAAGTCAGGAGGCCTGGCCAGCCTACCATCTCCTTCCCCTTGGCCCCAGTCTCGGTTCACACCACTCTGCCACACCGAGGCCGTGCCTGCTCGCCAAGCGTCTCTCAGATTACAACACAAAGCCCACGTCCTAAGAGAGACAAGACCAAAGCTCAGGGACTGGGAGGCTGTCTTGGGGAATGGCGGGCTCTGGTCCAGAACCAGGTATGTGGCCAGCTTAATTGGGCCATGCTGAGGCTGAACCCCACTGACCACAGGAGGCCCATGCTGATGCAGGCCTCTGGACCTATTTCTACCTAAAGTCCAGGGCTTGGAATGTCTTTGTCCCATCTCTTTGGTGAAAATCCCCAGGAACACTTCTTCCTTGAGGAATTTTCGAAGTTGAGAGCCAGTGCCTGCTTCCTAAAACAAAACATCCACCCTGTCCCAGAGGAAAGCCCTATGCTGCTATTCATCACATGACAAGCTTCCTGACAGTCGGCAGCTCCCTGCCCTGCATCCCACACCCCAGACTTACATCAATGGAGCAGCCCATGAGGGAGCCTCTCTCGATGGCTTTCTTCATGATCTTGTACATGTCTCTGGGAGCATCCTTGATCTCAAAAAACTCAGTCACCCCTCCTGTGAAGTCCTCCATGGCCTCAGTAGTGTTCCCGCCTTTCAGAGCCTCATAGGAACCGTGGAGCCTTGGAGACAGAATGAAGACCAATCTGAGATCACAGGGTTCCAGGAGACATGACCCAGGTGCCATGCCACCAGAATTTTACTCTCGGGTCCTGTGACGTTTTCTTATCTAATCCCCCAACAACCCTGTAAGCTAATGGGATGGATACTACGACTCCCTTTCTTCACATTGGAAAACTGAGCTCCAGAGGCCAAGTGGCTTACCCAAGGCACCAGAGACCTGGAAGCACTGGGACAGGAACCCAGCTATTCCTACCTCCTGATAGTTCTCTTTCCACCATACCCTAAACCCTAAGGAAGGGTTCCATTAAAGCCATTAGTAGTAGCTGGGGTGAAGCTTCGGAGTTGAGAGATAACATGACTTTATTAATATACTGCAAGATCAGGAGGTTGAGCCAAGCAAGACCCTGGGATGTGAGCTTCACAGATACAATGCTCAGATCCAAGACTTGCAACACCAACCTTTAATTCTAAAGGCAGAATTAAAGTGCTCGCTATGGGAAGCTAAATCTAAAGATTTTCTTT